TGGGGTGGTGCCTGTGGCTCAAAGGAGTAGGGTGCTGGACCCATATGCCGGAGATGGCGGGTTCAAACCCAGCCCCGGCCAAAAACTGCAAAAAAAAAAAAAAAAAGAGAGAATAGTTGGCTGGGTGCAGTGAGTCGCCTGTGATCCCAGCACTCAGGGAGGCCAAGGTGAGAGAATTGTTTGAGGTCGGAAGTTTGAGACCAGCCTGAGCAACAGTAAGACCCTGTCTCCACAGAAAAATAAAAAATTAGCCTGGTACAGTTGCTCGTGCCTGTAGTCCCAGCTACTTGGAGGCTGAGACAAGAAGACTGCCCAGCTGGGTGACAGAGCAAAACTCCTTTCTTGGGTGGCACCTGTGGCTCAAAGGAGTAGGGCGCTGGCCCCATATGCCGGAGGTGGCAGGTTCAAACCCAGCCCCGGCCAAAAACTGCAAAATAAAAGAATGAGAACCCATAAAAAATAGTCTTATTAAAAAAAAAAAAAAAAAAAAAAACTCTTTTCTCAAAAAAAAAAAAAAAGAGAGAGAGAGAGAGAGAAAATGGTCAAAATGATGAAAATTACTACTGCATTCCACTCATTCAAGCCTCTCAATATCAAGGCAATCAGGTATAATAAATCCTTTACTAGACACAGGATTTAGCAGAAACAAAGATACATATACAACTGAGTTTCCTAATGGAAAGTCACCCTGAATCAGAGGTTAGGAATCAAATAATCCCCTTCTAGAACTGGACTTCAATAGCACTACCAGACAACAAGACAAAAGCAGCATGCCATTTGCAATCCTTCTGGAAAATGAGAGGAGAAAACAAGAACAAGAACAAATTTAAACAACATTCAAGGAATATTTAAGAGGGCCCTTTAAGTAATTAGTAATGATCAGGTATTTAGTTTTCAGAATATGTAGGTTGTGTATTTTTTTCCTAATAAAGCATTTCAAATTCTAATTAAAAAAATACTTTATGGAGGAATTAAAAAGATACAATAGTGTCAGAGGAAAAGCCATGATCCCAGAAGTGGAATATTCTAACAACATAACTTAAAAGAAACTACGCTATAAAAACAGATTGTTGATTAACACAAACTCATAACAAAACGCAGAGAGCTATCACAATGGTGCTGTAATAACACTTGGCTGCTGAATTCTTTCAATACATTAAATCTCTCCTTGGAGACCAAATTACTTTACATTTTCTTAGAAGACAATTTATTATAGCTTTGTTTTCTTCTCATTATCTCTTAAAAATATATCTAATGAAGGAAAGAATACAACTTCTAAATAACTTACATAAAATGGTACTAATGTGTGACAACAGACTCTGGTTTAATATGCTGGTTATTATTTAACAGCACACAACCTATTGTCGTGACAAATCCTTACCACAATATGATATTCCATGTGTCACATGTATCAAAAACCACGGCATGCCATTATTATGGCACTCATAAAATTAACAGCTTCAGGCTGCTAGCGATTTAAATAATTGATAAGTTTTCAATTAAAAAGGCAACATTTTCAGGTCTAATACAAAAATCTATTTAAATTACTGATACTAACTTACACTTGTGTTGGCCCAAAGCCAGAAAATGCTTTCATTCAAAGGAGAAAATAAGTAATTCTCCAAGTTTCAACTCAGAGGTTACAAATTTGTTTTTATTCTTAAGCAGACAGACAGGCTGTGTATTCACTTAACGTGTGTAATCAATGGACAGAACAAGAACGAACGGTAAAAGTGTCTCTACTTTTGCTTTCCCCGATACAGTTTTCAATGAAATACTAAGGTGACCACATATGAATTTCATATGAAAAGCGAAGCTGGGGGGTGGGGGGTAGCAATAAAAATTTACTCAATCTGCCAGTATTTTCCCTATGCCACTATACCAAATCCCAGAATCAAACTTCAGGGCCAAATTGAAGCTAAAAAATAAAGACCAATACTTATTTTTAATAACAGGCTCGTAACCATGAGGACTAAAAACCAGTCTTTTGTGAGATTAGGTCCAAATGGTTCTCTTTATGACAAAACTGGAAGCCAAAGGAATTTCAACATAAGAACCAAGACAGACCAAAATGACAGCCAACAAATCTTGTTTGTGCTTTGTGCAAAAGATAATCATTCCCCTACTCTTTACCTTCTAAATGTTTACGGAGAGAGAGCTTGACTCTACACAAAGGGTATGTGATGGTAGGGGCTACACAGCAAAAGATTAAGAAGAAAAGAAACTCATTTACATTTTAAATTATTTAAAATGTGCTCACTCAGTGATATTTTCAGTTCAAAATATTCTACTGGAAAACTCAGCATCAGAAAAGTGGAGCTCTGCTTTTAAGTACATAAAATCTAGGAGGCCCCAAGGTCTCCCTCTGTAAATATCTGTGACGTGAATTAAGAAGAAAACCTGACCCTGATCAGCCAGACACAACTCGTGAACCAGTGCCAATTCATAAAAAGTTTTCATCCATCCGTAGCAAATTAAGAAAAAACAAAAATAATATAGTGAATTATCCATAAAACTAAATGTATTGACTTTAAACAAAAGGTCATCTTTACTTTTCAGATTACGTCCTGCCTGCTGCTTTACCCTTAAAATGACTCCTGCTATTTTTTTTGTTGTTGTTAATTAAATAATGGTATAGGCAATTTAAAAAAAATTTTTTTGAGACAGAGTCTCACTATGTTGCTTTCAGTAGAGTGTGGTGGCGTCATAGCTCACAGCAACCTCAAACTCTTGGGCTTAAGCAATTCTCTTGCCTCAGCCTTCCAAGTAGCTGAGACTACAGATGGCTGCCACAACACCAGATAATTTTTGTTGTTGTTGTTGTTGTTGAGCAGGCCCAGGCCAGGTTCGAACCTCCCAGCTTCTATGTATGTGGTGGGCACTCTAACCACTTAGCTACAGGTGCTGAGCCAATTAACAGGCAATTTTTATTAGTTTACTTATTTACTAATGTTTCTATTTGGCAAAGTTAACGGTCACCATGCCTATGTCTGTCCTCAACCTGAGAAACCAATCAGTACATAAAACACAAACATTTGGGGATCAATGAGGTAGATGACTTCTATTCAGACTAAAAAGTGACTCCCAAGAAATCTTGAGAACTTTTAAGTTCAGGACATGTAACGTAAGGTTATGTAATAATGACTCTAATATTTTCTTACAACACAAAAATAATTAAATACTGCATTTGAGAAAGTAAGCGTAAGTTGTAAGGAACACATGGTATAGAAATCAAAGCTAAAATAAAAATATACATCATTTTGAATTTAATAATGGAGATAACATGTCTCTTAACCACTGCCTCCTCATCTTAAAAACAAGAATGATAATACCTATCTCACAGACTGATTATTAAAACTTAATAAAATGAAATACATCAAGCATCTTATTATACAGGAACTTAGAAATGGAAATGGTTGTTATTATCACTAGGATCATATCCATTTTCAAAAAGCACAATCTATAAGATCCCACCAATAGTACACATCTTTTGTGTCTGGTTATGTTGAATATATAATGAAAATACACTGATGTCAGTTCTCTGCAATGGACATATGTGAGAAAATTAGAACCCATCTGTGTGTATGTGTGTGTGTTTTCTTAAAATAAACATGTCACATTCTCAGGAGAGTTAGCCAATCTATCAATACTAGTGCTAGACCTTTTCAGCAGACAATCCTACTCTGCCTTTCAAGGTACTGATGATCCCAGCTCTAAATTCTCAGTACACAAAGACTCCCACATAAGTTAATGGGAAGTCAATGGGAAATTGACTTTTCCTACTCTATGGTGGTTGGAATGCAACGCTCTGTTAATCATCCCATCCTTCTTGTTCTCTTTCCTCCTACCCTAAATTAAAACTATTGGCGGAAACCCATACAGATAGTTTACAGTTTTCATTACAATGAAACGATATCCTGGTTGCAGCTGAAGTCTATCAAAAATCTACAACCTAACTGTTGGCTAAGATTAGAGTCTCAATGAAAAGCAAAGGCCCCATTCCACCATTTCCACCACAATACCACTTTGCATTTGTATGGGACTCTTAACTTTTCAAAGGACTTTCACATCCATTACCCCATTTGATCATTACAATAACCCTGCGCAGTATAAAGGACAAGTATTATTACCCACCACTGACAGATGAGGCAACTACAGCACTGAAAGGTTAAGTGATTTGCCTAAGGCCAGGAAACCAGAGTTAGAGCTGTGGTCTCCAGACTGACTTCCAGTCCAGTGCTCGTTCTACCAGACTACTGGAATAGGTTTTGTAAACAGATTACAAACTCAGCAAAAATAAAACTTGAGACGAAAATTCAGATCAGGGCTCAGGTAAGCTATGTCTCCTCATCATAGTTGAATTTTTCAAGCTTAGTACTGAAGCTTTAGAAATGTACCCTTCTCTCTCTTTCACCTACTTTAGTACCAGATGAATGTTAAGGCAAATTTTCACTGTAACTTGAAACACCAAGAAAAGTCATTTCAGGATATATTCAAATCACTTTGATTCAGTAAGTAACCCTGTGGTTCATTTTCTGGTGGGGGTGGGAGTGCAGAGGGTAACAGAGTATGTCTTTAAACTGGATATCCATATTAAGCCTGCAGCTACATCATAACTATAGTCTGAAGGGTGAAAGAGAGCTCCAGTTGAAAGTAGATTTTGAAAAATTTTTTAGAGCCCAGGGGTTCTTTTTTAATGAGCCGTTACTTTAAGTACTGCATAAAAAATACAGGAAATTGATAGTCCATTTAGTCTGCACCATACCTAATGCAAAAGTCATTAAGATGCATTATTCTTAATGTTCATGATATGATCAGTAAGTGTCTCTCGAAAAGTATGCCCTTAACTTTCGTGTAAAGATATCTTTGAAAATCTTATCTATTATATAGAAAAACAGATGGCAACTGTAACTTACTTACATATCTTCACTAGGTCCAGGCAGCATCACCCTCAATCACATTAACATTTTTAAAACAGTCCTCATTTGTGATATACTTACATATGACAGCATTGCCTTCATTTCTTCATCACTTCTCACTGTAATTCGATCACCATCTTCATCTTCATCTGTTTAAAAAGCAACATAATGCAAGTGGTAAGAGTCATATATTTCTTAAGTACAAAAACCATGCTGGGTGAGAACAAAATACAGTTGGTTTTTTACAACTTGATACAGAAAACCCTCAACACCAAATTTTTGGAGGACGTTGGGATTTTTTTTAATTTGTTGTTCTTCTTTTATTTAGAGTACAATCAGAATCTTGATATAGAATTAAAATTTCCTTTCAGGGATAGCTGAAAATTAAAATATTGCCCATGTCATTCGTGGCATATATCAAGGTTAAAGTAAATGTAACTGGAATATGACAAAGCAGGTTTGAAGAACTTTAAAACACAAAGAGAGGCCAGTCTTACTCTACTGTCAGTAGGTTTTTAACTTCTGAAACAGTTATACACCCCTCTCTCCCCATTCTTTCCCTCTCCCAGGCAATCTAACATGTCACAGTGGCACGATAAAAATAACTAACAATCACTGAACATTTTTATACACAAGATACCATAAGCTTTGCTTTGTACACAATTCCTCCTTAAAAACCTCACAACAATCCTGCAATGCGGACACCATCATCATTATCATTATTCCATTTTCACAGAAGAACCTGAGGCTTAGTGCAAGGTTAACTTGCAAAGCAGCTCTAACACAGGTCTCCCCGTGATCACCTTCTATTCAGCGGCTCTTTCTCTTTCCCAACAGCTCCATTTGTTTGGGGTAATGTCTGATCACAACAAGCTTTAAACGATGATTCACGCTATTTTGAAATAATCTAATAGCTTTAAGACTAGACAATGATAAAACTTTATAAAATATATAACCCAAATGTGTATGTTTAAATAAGCACCATCAAAGAAGTCACATCTAGCAACAATGTACTTATTTCAATACTTCTCTTATTCAAAGCAGTATTTCAAAATATCTCTCCAAATTGTTTTAAGAACCTGAGATAGACCACATGAAAATACCAGATTCAGCTTAGCGCCCACAGTGGTTACGGAGCCAGCCATATGCACGGAGGCTGGTGGGTTCAAGCCCAGTGCAGGCAAGCTAAACAATGACAACTGCAACAAAAAAATAGCTGGGCATTGTGGCGGGTGCTTGTAGTCCTGGCTACTTGGGAGGCTTGAGGCAAGATAATCCCTTGAGCCCACGAGTTGGAGGTTGCTATGAGCTATGACACCATGGCACTCTACTGGGGGAGACATAGTGAGACTCTGTCTCAAAAAGAAAGAAAGAAAAAAAAAAGAAAATATCAGATCTCATTTTTAATGCAATAGAATGTCAGCCTGATCACCCACCCACACCATTTGCCAGATAGGACTCAGAATGACTTCTGTCTTTTCCTGAATATTTAGCTAGCAACTTCACCCTTCTAAAGATAAAGATTTGTCAACAGTAAGAACAGCCTGTGTGTTGGATTCTGAATGCACAGTGGAAAGGAAAATGCCAAAAATATTTTGAATAATATACATAGCCTCCCAAGGTGACAACTTAGAAGGGGCAGCTCTTGGCAGGAAGCCTCAGATCTGGTACACTTGTTTGTTTGTTTGTTTGGCTGGGGCTGGGTTTGAACCTGCTACCTCCAGTATATGGGGCCAGCTCCCTACTCCTCTGAGCCACAGGCGCCACCTTAGATCTGGTACACTTGTTAACAACTGTAATTATTATTTTTTTGTTTTCTCTTCAATATACAATTGCTGATTTGATCAGACACAATGAACACTCTGATCCCAAGCCTGAAGAACTAGACAAACCTCTCGTCATGGAGAGAATATGTCTGGGAAACCCACTCTGGGAACACACTTAAAGTACAGAGAGAGTTCAGTCTAGCGCAGGGCTTTCCCCACCACATACAGCAGATCTTCCCTTGATGGCACCCCACTGTTTGGTGACCAAGCTAAATGGATCCTAGGAGGGAGTTTGTGCTCTCTCACAATTAGCCTATTTCCAGGCAAAACATTACTTCCTTTTTCTCCTCAGTGGCCATCAGCAACGTGACAGCATGACTGAAATAACACATGGGCCAGTCCCACTCAGCGACCAAGCCAACAGCCAACAGAAAACCACGTTTTCTTTCCAAAGTATATTTATTTCTAGATCCTGGTTCACTCCCACAGTGTTCCCCAATTTGATGTGAATCAAAATCAAGTCACACTAGAAGCTGTTGAGAGGCACTACTGGTATTATGCCTGCTTTCTGTGTAAAGGACACATATTGGCCACTTGCAGTAACTAAGAAGGCACGGTTGTGCCAGACGTTTCACACATAAAGAATTATATAGGAATATAGCACTTTTTCTTTTTTTCTTTCACTTTAGGTATAGATTCTCTATGACCAAATGGAGGTGGGGGAATGCCATTCTAGCTGTGGGAAGAGAAGAGTTTCTATATATATTCTAGAAACTAACATTTTCAAGGCTAAGTCTATAAAATTTTCTTAAAAATACAGGAGATAAGAAAAATAGGGCATAAAAGAATATAATGTTACCTATTACCACACATTAAAAGCACTTTACACTTTTGCTTTAAAACAAGGTCAAATTCTGTTTAAACGTAGACTAAAATGAGTTGTTCTTAATGAGGACCGGAACCTAGCCAAAAAAAATTCTAAATGAGTAGTTTTTTTGTAAATCTCACTCCTGCATCTGAGCTGGCTATAGAGATGATGGCCAGAAAGGTACTGCTTGCATTCAAATTTCAAAACACACAGGACTTCAGTAAGGTACTGCTCACATGGGATGCAAAGGAACTTAGGGTTTATTAAAGTGGGAGAAAAACCTTATAATTTCCAAAGAAAGGGCAGATTCCAGAAAGATCACAATCTCTTTAAATCAAGTACAAAAAACAAAAAAAAAAAAGAGAGAGAGAGAGAGAAGAAAGAGTTTTTTAAGTTCTCAAAACCAGGGTTTGAGCCTCTTAAGGCTACTTAAAGTATATGAAATATCTTGAGGGATTATTTCAGAGGGGGAAAAACTGTGATGGAAATCAGCTACCAGAATGACTTCTTACAGGGCAGTTCCATAAAAACCAGCTATGAAAAACTTCAGAGGCTTGCTTTAAGAGGGCAGAAAACTGAGGCCAAGAGGCTGGAATAGCTTTTGATGCCAACCTAGTGGTGATGTGTCAGAGCAACCCCACAGGGGATCTGACTCCAAGAGAAAGATTTTTAGGTTAAGTTGAAAGGGGCATTCTAACAAAGCCTGGGGACAAAATCAGGCTTATATGGCACAGTGATTAATAGTTCTATGGATTAACAGAAAACTTTGTTTTATGTATGCATTGGTTTTCTTTACAAACTATTCTCTGGGGGACTGTCTGCCTCATTCTTTAATATCTTTGCTTAGTTGTTTTAATGGAGACTCATTCTTATCCAAGAGGAGAATGAGTAACCACACTCAGAAGGACTGATGGTCCTGTGCGAAAGGCAAAGCTGTATCTGACCCTTCAATGGTGTGCCCAAGGGCAACCAGCCATTCACGTTAAAAGTGAAAATGCACTTCTCTCTAAAGGCAGTGAATTGTCTGGCATGAGAAGTTACGGAAAGGTAAGAAAACAGAAATACATACTAAGCAATATAGTATGACAATGACCTAAACCGCTGTCTCCAAACAAAAAGTTGGAGATAGCCCACCTAGCACAGACTCTGGCTGTTTGCCTATCAAGCTGGATTAGTTATAAAAATTACAGTAGCTGGAACTACAAATCATAAAAACTTACGAAGATGGCACAGAGAGTTTCAAAGGTATAAATATGGTGGTTGAGAACACTAAAAAGTAGTGCTACCGAGTAGTACAGAAAGAAGTAAAAAAACAATTTGAACTTTTTCTGTCTTATACATGGAGGTTCTTTGCCATCTGACCAAAAAAGCATTACTGGATATGACCAAGAAAAGGGAGGGTGGGGGAAACAGATCTGATACACTGGTTCACAATGAGAATTCCAGGCTTCTCTAGTTGCCTGGAGCATAGTAATATGATTTTCCAGCACATTAGGGAAGCAAAAGTAGAACCAGAAAGTCTATGTACTGGCTGGATTTTGTTAATGTCACTTAAAATGGAGGAAGAAATCCTAGCAAGATACCAAATAGAGTGCAGCAGATGGTAAACAAATATTATGAAGCAATCTTCACAAAATCTGCAGTGTGTCACAAATATACAAAATGGCAGAGTTTGGGAAAAGAGAATCATAACAGGCCATATGTTGTTAGCGATTTTATTTGAAGCAACATGCAATTCAAAAGAAAAACCAAGAAGAGGAACATAAAGGCCCAACAGAGGAGGAGAGGCAGCCTCAGGTGAGGGGCCGTCTGAATGGCCTTCCAAGTAAGCAGCAGATTCAGGGGAGCTCTCAGCAAAAAGCACCCACTGTGGTGACAGGGGCTCAAGAGGGCTTCTGAGAAACAGTCTAGCTTCTACAAAAAGCAACAGAAAAGTTAAAGCAATATATTCTATGTCATTTGTCACACTCCTTCTGTGCCAGGTGGGAGTCAATTAGAACTACAGTAAAGGCATTTTTCCCAGGCAAGAGAAAAGAAATGAAAACATAATTGTAGAGGTTAGAAAGACATCAACAGGAAACTACCAGAAAAGATGTCAAGTTTAAGGCCCTTTTCACGTGTGGGGCAGAACTAGAGGCTACAGTTTCTCTGGCCAAATCTTCAAATCTATTAGTGTTAATTTAGCTCCCTGCCTCCCTCTTCTTGATTCTGTCCTCACTTTTTTGCTCCCTTTCTCCTTTTAGCAAATGAAAGTGCCCACTACATAGCAGACATTTTTATGGGCACTGGGATAGTAAAAGTGAAAAAAGAAAACACAAACAAACAAAAGTCTGTCCTCATGGAGTTTAAACTCTAGTGGAGAGAGAATGAAGGAGGTAAGGGATTAGGTGGCGTAAACATCTGGCAAAAGAGCATTCCAGAAAGAAGGAACACCTTATGCAAAGGCCCTGGGTCAGAGAAGCACCTGGCATATTGTGATGGCTAGACAGAATGAGAGGAGGGCATAGAAATAAGT